AAATCAACTTGCATGCATGTTTTTATTTTCATAAGACTAATGGGTACCACTAAAATTACACATATTTTTCTTTAATTTTTTTATTTCTACAAACTAAGAAACATATTATAGACGTAAATCACTTACATGTATTGCAATTTTTGTGCTTTGGATTATATTTTAGACTAGTAGAACAATTATTGAAGACGACGATCACTTCGCGGGGCATCATACACATACTCGTACCCTGTCAAATAGCCCATCAATTAGTGCCCTTAATCTTTCTACGAATGAGAACATTGATACCGAAAATATGACGTATGAGGTAGGCATGTACAATGTCAGCTCGATGTTTTTATCCAAATATTTATATATGTGGTTTACGATCTTGAAAAGATAACTCAGATATCTATATTCTATTTCTTCATACTCGGATAATAAGGAATTGAATGAGTTAGAAGACTCCATGGGAGATGTAGATAGAGGTTTATCGCAAAGCAGGATTTCCAAATTACCGACTCATAAATATGGTGAGGAAACCAAAACTTGGTGGTGGCAAACTAAGAAAAATAAGTTCACCACAACTCAGTAAGATCATATGTCTATATCTTTTATTTTGTTTATAGCTTCAATCCTATATCGTCATTTGGATATTTGCTTCATTACAAATCAAACCGCATTAACATATAACAGATGGTTATTTCTATTCGATACAAATTTATCATTTAAACCATGATTTTAATTTTGATTTGGGTATTATTAATTATAGGTGTTCGATATGTCTAGTCAACTATGTGATGGGTGATCAATTAACAACATTGCCATGCAAACATATATACCACCAGGATTGCATTTCTCAATGGTTGAAAAAAGACAAGGTATGAACAAAACTCGCTTTGATCTTTCATAAAGATGAATGCATGTATATTATGTTATATATCGTGTTTGTTGCATGCGAAACTTATCTCAGTTCTTAATAGTATTAATTTTATTTGTGCAGGTATGTTGCATTTGCAAAGCCGAGGTTTAATCCCGAATGTTAGTTCTTGTTGGACTATAATGATAATCAATCAAATATTGTTTAGATTTAAATTTTAATTTTTCGGGCAATCACCTCCTCTATGTGTAAATTTCTATTGTTAATTTAACTAAATACTTATGCATGCGTGAGTTTAATTTTATATCAAACAAGTATTTAAATTTACAAGCTTCTTTTTGGAATTTTGCTTTGGTGATAGGAAATATTAAAATGAAAAAATTAAAAAACCTATTTACTCTAACTCAAAGACCATACTGTTGGTGTCAAAAACCGTAATCTCGAAATCAACGTCTACGATAACTTCTGTAAAGAGAAAATCATTACTTTCCACGAAATACAAAAATCGTTTTATTAAACTTGAGAAATCGTTTTATAAAACTCGAGAAATCATTTTATAAAACTCGAGAAATCGTTTTATAAATCCAAAATAGATTTCCGAACAAAGGAAATCCGCGGAAAACTCGGAAAACGTTATTTTGGAAGAATAAAACAAACGTCGATTACACGATCATCCGAGTTAAGCACAAAACCGCGAAAAACCAAAACCGCCATAAAACGCAAGCTAGTCCTGGGTTGACTAGCTAGCCATAAAGCGCAAGCTAATCCCGTCACGACTAGCTCGCCATTCGGCGAGCTAGTCCCATCACGACTACCTCGCCGAACGGCGAGCTAGTTCCATCCCGACTAGCTCGCCGTTCGGCGAGCTAGTCCCATCCCGACTAGCTCGCCGTTCGGCGAGCTAGAAGCTTCCCTGTTAGCTCGCCGAACGGCGAGCTGAACCGGTCTGGTTTGGCTCCCCGTACGTCGAGCCGACCATCCCGAGCCTCAATCTCCCACATCCCCAATTCAAGGCTCCGTTTCGTTTCGATCCGTCCTGTCGTTCGAATTTTACGATAAAAACCGTAAAACTTTGTTTTCTCGAAAAGAACTCGAGGAAATCGTATAAAACGGCAACGGTTAAACGAAGCACCGAACATTGCCTAAACTATGTGATTTATTCAAGATTTTTCGTAAAAATCGTAAAAAACATGTTTTTAATAAAAACGTCGAGTGAATCATAAGAACAACAACGATTAACCGAGAAATGAATGTAGCTAAACTTTACGATTAACTCGAGCAACTTATCAAAAACGGCTTCAGATCAGGAAACGATCTCGTGTAAAGTCGCAAAACTGATTTATTGCAAAACGGCTCGGAAGGTCCTAAAACGTGATAAAGGCCCATCTCGCGATCTTAACGAAATCTAACCCGAAGATACAATGACGTTTTGACGATTTATCCGCCGAAGGAAGATAAAGGTCAAGTTTGAAGGTAAATGGCAAGTTTGGAGATAAATAGAAGATTTCCGCGGGAAAAAAAGAAAGATCAAGATAAATGGAAGATTCCCGATAAACTCGAATCTGGGCGAAATGGAAGGACCTAACCGCCAAGGAAGGGAGTATATAAGAAAGAGGCATAGGGAAGAAGAAGGGGACGAAAATTAGACCTAGAGAGGCGGCTGTTAGCTTAGGAAATTAGGACTTAGGTGTTTAGACTAGCAAGACGGATCCTTAGAACGTTTCAACGTCTGAGCTCCGCGATTCATTTTGTAACAGTTGTCAATCTCTTATTCAATAAAAGCTCTTACGCAAATTCTTTATCTATTATATATTCTTCGTTATTGTTATTTATCCATATTCTGTTAACTCTTTTCGTTTTAGTGATTTCCGCAGAGATCCATGACCTCGGGAAAATTAGAGTTTTCCCTAAGTTTCCATATTTGACGGAAAATTGATAGTGTGGATTTTGGTTCCCACAGTTTGGTGCTAGAAGGAGGGGGGGTCGGATTCTCTTACACAATAATCGCTAGAACGAACGAAAAAAGACATGCCTAATCTGAACGGCGACTTCATCTCGTTCGAGAAAAGAGCAACGATCAATTCAATCAAACTTCTCAACGATCTTCTCATTATCGAGCTGACGATCCAGAATATGGATGTCGCGAGGATATTAGTCGATACCGGAAGCTCGGCTGATATCATCTTCAAAAACACTCTCGAGAGAATGAAAATCGATCTGTCTGAAATTGCGGAAAACGCAAGCCCGCTAGTAGGACTCTCGGGAGAAGTCACCATGACCCTCGGAACGATCAACCTTACGGTTCGCGCCGGAAGCATAGTGAAAAACGTCTAATTCCAAGTCGTCGATCGACCCATGTCTTACAACGCGATCGTAGGAACACCATGGTTAAATTCGATGCAAGCGATTCCGTCGATGTACCACATGTGTCTTAAGTTTCCGACTCCGTGCGGAATCGAGACCATATGGGGAAATCGGAGAACCTCGCAAGTTTGCTATGCCGCAGATCTAAAAAGAAAAAATCTGGCGGTCGACGTTTCTTCCAAAAAGAAAAAGAAATCGATGGCCCTCGACAACATCCTAGAGTAAGATAAAACGGAACTCTTCTGGCAGTTGCGAGCGGCCGCGGCATTGGAAGGTGAACGCGAGCCAACCTGCGAACCTGTCGTCTCAGTGTGCATCGACGAGGCTTTTCCAGAGCGCTGCGTCGAAATCGGTGCAAACCTAAGAGAGACCTTAAAAGCCGAACTCCTGACATGTCTGAAACGAAACTCGAACACGTTAGCTTGGACTGCGGAAGATATGCCAGGAATCGACATTAACATCACATGTCATGAACTAACGTTGACCCAACATCCAAACCCGTCAAACAAAAAAGATGAAAACTGGGGCCAGAACGCGCCGAAGCGGTCAACAGCGAAGTCGACAGGCTCCTCAAAGTAGGGTCGATCACATAAGTTCGGTATCCTGACTGGCTCGCCAATCCTATCGTCGTACAGAAAAAGAACGGAAAGTGGCGAGTTTGCGTCGATTTCACCGATCTCAATAAAGCGTGTCCTAAAGATAGTTATCCGCTGCCACACATCGATCGCCTAGTCGAGGCAACCTTGAGAAACAAAATCTTATCTTTCATGGACGCCTTTTCGCGATACAATCAGATCATGATGAACCCTGACGATTGGGAGAAAACCGCATTCAAAGCTGATCGCGGAACTTACTGCTATAAAGTGATGCCTTTCGGCCTTAAGAATGCTGGTGCGACTTATCAACGACTTGAAATCGCATGCTCGACGAACAGACTCAGGAGAGCAAGATTAAAGCTATGCTAGATCAGATTCAAGGACAGCAAAAGCTGACAGTGGAGTTCAATGGGAAGATAGATACTTTCTAAAAGGAATTAGACACCAAAATAGGAGCTTTGAGCAATTAGGTCAGAAACTTGAGACTCAGGTAGTTCAGACTGAAGAAGTTGTCAAGAGGCAAGAAGGTGATGAACCTATGAGACACCACAGCATTGCCATACTAAATTATGATTTCTGGCAAGAAATTTGTCATATACAGATGGGAGAGGACGAGCCTAAGGAGAAAGTTTATCGCGATCTCGAAGTTCCATTCTTGAATCGATCGATGGGTTTACATCCATATCGATCGAGTGAGTTCGAGACATGTCGATCGACAGGTTACAACTACGATTGATCGACGCTTACCTAATCGTCCAAAACCTGCAATGTCGTCTGCATGATGACCCACGAGGAGTTTG